GTCCGTAGGTGTGAATGTGAGTGTGCTTGGTTGTCTGTCTCTAAGTGTGGCCCTGCGATGGACTGGCGACCTGTCCAGGGTGTCCCCTGCCTTCGTCCTAAGTCGGCTGGGATAGGCTCCAGCCCCCCCGCGACCCTAATGAGGATTAAGCGGTGTATAGAAAATGGATGGATAGAAATGGATTTCACTGTTTAACTGACTCGATGAAACTACTTGGAGCTATGCAGACTGTGACATGTCTGTATGTACCTAAATACTGTGTGAAACTCCATTCCTGTGCTACTACTGACCTTTTTTATTCTTAACATTGAGTTTTGTGGATACCAGCTTGTGAGGTAGCCAGCTGTAGAAGGAATACCAACCATCTGTATTCTACTGTATCGACTATTTTGTCCGAGCAATGTAGTTGTGTCCAAAAACAAAAACATCTAAATAAATATAGTAGACTTCCCACAGGACAAGGACATAATGAATGAATGAATGAATGAATGAACGAATGAATGAATGAATGAATGAATGAATGAATACACTTACATGAATGAGCAAAAATGAAGCACAAACAAATGTTATGTGCAATTTTGGGGATTTGTAGTACATTTAGTACATACAGACAATATAGAAGTTGTTGCTTTCAGAGTATATAATTTACAGGTCAGTGTTTGGGCCCATTCTGGCATATTTTGAAAGACGAGGTCTCCTTGCATTGCAGCATGCTTGTGTAACAGGGTGACAACACAGCATCACGCTCACACAGTAGTAAAAGTATGTATTTGCCTGCAATAGAGGTTCTCTCTCTCATTATTCTAGCATTTAGCAAATTGTAATAATGCTGGTAATCCTAACGGCCCTAAAGCAGGAAAAGTTTAGTCTGACTTAATGTCAGACTGTGAGAAAGAAAAGGTTTTATATCTTTTTATGCAGTGGATGTAAACTTCTGGTTTCAGTTGTAGTAACGTTTCCAGTAGGTGGTGGACTCCTCCTGGGTTGCCCCTTGTCTCTGATCCCATTTGTGATATTTATGTATGGTAAACACATGTGGACAAAACAGTTGGTACCCCTTGGTTAATGAAAGAAAAACCCACAATGGTCACAGAAATAACTTGAATCTGACAAAAGCAATAATAAATAAAAACATTCGGAGATCAAAATTGGTATCCCAATTCCAGAACTGCAAACGAATAGTTGGCTATTCAGGTCTAGCCCTATTCCTATTCACTGTTACTGGCACGGCAGTGCTTTGAACAACAGCTGTCTTCTTTGTACTGAAGACCAATTCATGCTGCACTCAATCAGCATTTAAGACTCTGCAGACCATTTGCGTTGGGAGAAACCAAAGCTGTGTCGTCTGTAAACAAGAGCTCATGAAAAAACACTACAAATAATTGAAGAGAATTACTAAAAAAAAAAAACAGTTCAAAGATGACTGGGTGCTGAGATGTAAAAAGAAAACTGCTGCTATTTTAAACATAAATTATCACAATTGCACTGTCATCAGCAAAAGACATTAACTGTGCCACTGTATTACCAGGTACAGATACAACTAGCTTAACTATTGCTGGTTGTTGGAGCTGAAGGAGTGAAGCCCTCTTTCCTTGATGTAGTTCGGGTTAGTGTAGTTGGTGCAGTAAACTGCCCGGGGCTCATTGTAACACAAACATAATAGCAGTCAACTTAACAATAGTAAGCTATCTGAATGATATTGGGGTAAACTACGACAGTGGTACAAAACTTCACTTGTGCAGCTAAGCATTCTGACTTACTCTTCTTTTCCACAGTGAGCCACTTCTGAAGGACTGCGTCCTCAAGCAGGAGGTGAAGCAGACCAGGCAGCACTGCCGGATACAGCTGGTTGCTTCGTAGCTCCTTCTCAAATTGAAGCACCTCCTCCACCAAGTGACAGAAGAGCACATCATCATACAGCAGCCTGGACGCATCGCTGGCCACCTTCTCCTGGACTACAGACAACAAGCCACGACACAACTCCACCTGCCCACACAGACACACACAATAGTTGGTGTTAGCTAACCATCAGGTGATCAGAAGCACGTACAGTTATATCTGTTGACTGTATAACAACATTTCTAAGGATAGTGTAGAAATTCTACAACATCATAAACAGGTCCTAGAAAATACTATGTTGGGAAAGGTTTTGAGCTCTAATTAATATAACTGATTGGCTGCAGTGTTGAAAGGGTTAATACAGTCAATTAAAACTCTCAAATAGTCTTGATTAGTGTAGTGCATCAACCATCATGAATGTGGCTTCTGTCCACTCCAAACACTTGTTCACAGTTATTCAATGGTCACTTCAGCACGAAAAACAGATTCTTTTTGGATTAAAACAGTGCCTATTAAAAAAAACAGCATACCCGAGCACTGAAAGTCGCCCCAGCTCGGTCCAGGATAGGCTGTATCTTTTCTTCCATGAAGGTTGAGTTGTTCCCCATCCACATCAGAACCTGCGTGAGGTACCACTCTGGCTGGAAAACACACACACAGAGCATGATTACGAAGTTGAAAACTTTAGACGACAATGACAACTTCTACAATGAACCACTGTGGAGTCTTTCTCTAGAAAAACTACAGATCTAACCAACATCAACAAATTAAGAGTTTGCTGCACAACTTGCTGAGATTTTTCAATATTAAGGGTAAGGTTTTGCCGAGTTTTTTATGAACGTTTCCTCAACTATGGTACAGGGAAAAAGTGTTTAGAGCTGTTTCGCACAGTCACTTTAAAAAAAGTGAAAAGACATCATTTGATGTAACAGATTTTCAAAGTAAAAGTCTATCCTTGAAGACATTCAAATAAATGTTGAATGAGGTTGTACACATGGCAACTGACAAATAGTGTAAAGAATGGGAAACTAAAGACAGATCAGTTCTGACTGGTGACCTGCTGGTGGAAGGGGATGGGATGTCCAAAACATTCAACAATCTGACAATCAATTCTGATAAACTCCAGACAATTTCTACAAAAATGTAAGTGTGTATCAGCTTCTGCCAGTTGATATGTCCTGCTATAACATGATATAACATGTTTTTTGTAGGCTTTGGAATTAAGACATTCAAAATTTAAAAATACAATAAAGATGCTCAGTAAGCTGTTACTGGGTATAGTCTTTTATTTTGAAAGTAAACCCAAGCATACAGATAATGTGCCCATCAAGAAGTGAGACAGTATGAAGTACCGTTTGGGACATCAGGGAGCTTTTGTCTTGCCAGTGTAGGGGGAGGACATGAGGCAGCATGTTTATTTTGAAAGGCCATCATATTCTAGAGTCTCTTTTAAGTCTTTTGTAACATTTCAGAACTTTTATTTTGGTAGTGTAGTGTCGTGGACCTCAATGCATCCTGTCAACATACATTTTATTAACTAGGGGCTTTTACTGTGAAAAGCCCACATACGTACATTTCATTCCCTTGTTAGAGTTTCCTTCCGTTTTAAAGAAATAAACAAGATGAAGTTGCTGTAGATCCTTAAATCACTCTTACTTGGGAGAGACTCTTATTTAGAAGCTCAAGCCAACAGATATGGAGCCACTAAACACTATTGCTTATGGATATTGGTCTGGGACATGTTAGAAATGCCCACATTTTTACGTATGAATTGTTCATGTAGAATAGAAATAGTGTGAGAGGAGACAAAATTAACTGTACTTAAAGAAAAAAAAAAACATTTCTCATTAAAATTTAGAGTTGGCAACCTTACAAGTGTTGTCACCCACTCTAGCGGAACGAAAATTCGGGTGTGATGGGTGCTGTGTGTGGCAGACCTTGCTGAGGGAATTTGTCTGTCGGTTCCCGTAGAAGTGGTATTTGAACCTCCTGCTGAGCGGCAGCAGCATGATCTGGATGGGCAGGCAGAGGGGAGGCGCTTTGGACAGATGCATGGTTGAAGAAACAGGATGGGTGGAAGGTGGAGCTTGACCTGAGGACGAAGCCTTCTGCGATATGAGGTCATCACTGCCAGGGGGAGTTAAAGAAACAAAGCACATACGGTGTTCCAAAGCTGCAATCCTGCTGGAAGCCTGAGTCGTGCAACTTTTTAGGACCATGAAAATCTTTGTAAAATGACACTATCATTCAACAGTACTTGTCCCCATTGGGGCAGTTGGGTAGGCAGCAGGGACATGCCTTTATTTAGCACATAAATACCAACTGAAAACATGAGTACACTGTAAGGAATTCTGTATATAACTGCCTTTTCTTCCCAGAGTCTAGGAGGGAGATGGCAGTGGGTATAAAGGAGTGTTCTTTGTAATCGCACTGTGAAACTCGTTCATGTCTACTACTTGCACAGCGCAACATGCCGCTGTGCTGAGCAAAGCACGAGCACAGCCTGCTAGTCGGAGAGGCTACACGCTCCCCGCAGTCAGAGTTCAAATCTGGTTAACTTTGACCACTGTGCTCTGTGATGTATGACCGCACAGCCAATAGAATTTCAGCTGCACGGAGGGAAACGTGGAGAATCAGTCAGTGCTGTTTGTCCGAATTCCTTGAATTATGTGACACAACTTTGTGATTGTGTTGAGATTCAGGGAGAAAAATGTTCATAACAGAACAGGTCGTCACCTTACTATGCAGGGCCCTCGCCAGGATATTTTTGACAGCGTACGGGAGGGGGTTAGAGAGAAGAAGAAGTCGTTGTCATTGACCTCGGGGGGTCTTAGCGAATGCTGCTAACTGTTAGCAGTGAATACACTAGCAAATAGCAGCGCTAGCAGCGAAGACAACGATACAAAAACTGCATCGGCGCTTGTTGTTGAATATTTTCCTGCTAGATATCCACGAAAACAGCATAACGGCCCAATTTGCAGCGTAATGGCCCATTATAACAGCGTAATGGGCCGCTACGCTGTTATAACGCTGGCGAGAACCCTGCTATGTGAAGTGTTATGAGATGACATATGCTGTGAAATGGCATTACAGACATAAAATTGAATTGAATAGTGATAATGACTGCTGCATGCTAGCAAAACCAGTGCTAATGCTAATGCTTGCTACTTAGTGCGGGACAAATACACCTTCACTGGCTACGTTCGGACTGCAGGACTTAATGCTCAATTCAGGTGTTCTTTGTGAAATCCGATTTTTTTGTGAGTTCGTTCACATTTCCAGTTTAATGCGACTTGTATGTGATCTGCTGTGTGAACTTCATACGACCCAAAAGTGTCCCGCATGCGCAGAAGAGGACACAGCGACGTCACACGCAGTGAGCATGCTCAGTGTTTACGGAAGTAAACATGGATGTAACGGTGGAGTGTATCTGCCACTACCCTGCCACCACCGATAGTGGAAACAGAACCACTTCTATCCCGTGCTCACCCGGGGTGGAAGTGGCTGGAACATGCGCAAGCGCACCGGTCAGTTCGGAGTGAAATCCAGCGGTGCATAGTGTTCTAATAATACACTAGTCATTATAACAACTATGAACAATGACTATTAACAACAAATGAGCCTTCAAGCATCAAAGCCCTCCTTGTATCTTGACCTCCGTCTTGACAATGTGACAGCCTTGCTATCCGACATAGAAGAAGGTTTTACATTTTGTGTTGAATTATCGAGTCACGACTTAAACACACCAAACTGACTACCCCAGCCTGTGTAACCGCATTATGGTCCAATGTGTCATAAAAGGTGAATTTTTGATTACAAACTAAAAGCAGTGTAGCACATGGCAAACAAATATGCATCTTTGTGGAGAGTACTGCAAGTTTAATATAAATATAATTTGTAGCTTCTGTACACCTTTGGATGGAAGGATACGAGGTCTGCAAGGCCAGCAGTTGTGTGACGAGCAGCTCCAGTTGGCTGCTGATCTCCTGACAGTTAGCAGCTGGTGTCAGCGACTGAGTAGGAGGGGAGATGATCGGCCAATGGAGCTGAACCAATATCTTCTCAAAATCACTGTGAAAGAATTCAAGAAAATGATTTAGTCCATACAGTCAGTGCAGTGTGGTGATACAGTATGCAGCTCTGCATTTCTGAACTGTGAGGGCTAGATGATGGGAGATGTACCCGGCCAGTCGATCCTTGATGATTTTGTGCCAGAAGCGAAGTGTTTCTTGGAGGAAGTCTTGGAGGTGAGAACATCCGGACTGGTTCAGTCCACAGTCCAGCACTGCCATGCTGTCGACTGCCTTTATGGCTTCCCACATACTGCTGGTCATCAGACACTGTTGGACTGCAGCACTGCAAAAACACAACACTTTGCACATCAGTGCCTCTGTTGCAGACATGATACAGGGGAGGAAACAAGTCTCTCAGAAGCACAAGAGCAACGCTGACAGACCACTAACTAACGCTATTGCTTTGATTTCTCTGTCCTGAGCAGGTTTGATTCATGTTTTCATGTATTTCTCATTCTTCTTTTCACCTTACTTAAATCAATCTATCATTGAAGTCCAGATTTGGGAACTAAGTTAACAATACCAACCAAAAGCCTTGCATAACGGAGTACAGTGGGTATCGTCTACCCTGTTCACACCTGGCGTTAACAGGCATCATGGATCCCCCATGATGCCTGTTAACGCCAATGACAAAGACAAGAAGACAGAACAGGTGTGTAGGTGCCCAGGACTGCTTTAGATCCAGTCAATCAAGTTACATTCAGAGTTGGTCTGAGCTACACATGTCCAAGTTCCTTTAGTCGTGGAATCAGTCCTGGGCCAAATCGTAGAACAGCCGAACACAAATGAAGAGTCCTGCATCAGATCCAGTAGCAGTGGCCATTCATAGTCCTTCAACTTTACAGAAGGCTAAAGTGTAGCGTGACATGAGGTGTGAAGCCTGTGTGTCTCATCATGGGTCTAAACTGAATCCATGCAGGCCGTTTGGTCTTTCAAACAGAAATGATGTGTTTACTTGCATGTTCAGCAGGACAGTGAGAACCAACCAGTCATCTGAGATGCATGAGACACATTTTAATGTCTACTGTGAACTGACACACTTACAGCTGTCTAATGATATCTGGATCACCCAAGACACATGTTAATACCAGGTGTGAACACAGCCTTAGTGCTGCAGGAATGTAGGACTCAATGCTGATTTGCCTTTAGTCTGTAACAGGATTCTATTAAATCTGATGTATATACTACACCACAGCTCTCTATTCTAAAAAATAACTACAGTATGTCTTGTGATGTCAAAGTAGATTTGATTACCTGTGTCTATCCAAATGTAAAACTTACATTAATAACTTAGATTACTAATTCACAATAGTCCAGGCTGTGCTTTGCTTCCATCTTCGACTCCATGTTTGTTCACACATCTCTTCCCATCTCTTTATCCCCGTTTACAGTACCTGAGCTCCTCTATGTGTTGAAGGCACCGTAGATACTTCATGTGTCTCTCTATCGTGTCGACTTGGTCGCATGTCTGGTTAAGATTATCCATCCAAGGCTGGGCCACCTGCTGGTGCTGGGGAATGGACAACAACATATTACTCACAACACAATAACAAAAAGAGAACGTTATTGGCCGTTTCTCAATGTGCGTACTTGTCCGTACTTGCGTTCTTGCAGACTTGTGAAACGTCATTAGTCTGAGACCAAGTACCGTCCCAATTCTAAGTACGCATCTGACCAAGTACGGATGAAATGCCCGAATGTGTTCTCGCTCCGCCCACATTATCGAGTCTGCATCAGACCGGACTTGTGTGGACTTCAGATAGCCATTTATCCCATTTATCTGACGGTGACCGTCAAACCGGGACGGTCACATCTCCAAAATTGTTGCCGGTTTGACAGCTGTGACGGCGGTCAGTGCTCACAGTAGCCGCCCAGAGCCGCCTGATGTCGGCAAGACTCTCTGAAGTCTGCCGCTGACGGCTCCGTAGCAGTGAAACAGGGATATACGTAGTTTGGCGGTCACACTTTGTCCTCACAGTGTAATTTGTTTATTGCTCACAATCGATTTTAACACATTACAAAAACACCATCTTATAATAAATAGTAATTAATTCTCAGCATTTTATTGTTTAAAGACCCTCATTACAGTGTTGTACAACAAGGCAGAACAAGATTTACATTTAAATTGTTGCATTTTTGTCCTTCTGATTGCAATGAAATCACAATCGAGCATTGCTACAACAATCTCAATACGTCCTGTCACGGAGCATGATGTAGGGTTAGGGTTAAACTTGTCAGCATGTCTGTATATTGAACAACATGTCAGCTGCTGCCACCCTGGTAACAGCAGACATGTACACTTCAATTTACACACATGGACAAAATTGTTGGTACCCCTCGGTTAAAGAAAGAAAGACCCACAACGGTCACAGAAATAACTTGAATCTGACAAAAGTAATAATAAATAAAAATTCTTTGAAAATTAACCAATGAAAATCAGACATTGCTTTTGAACCGTGGTTTAACAGAATTATTTTAAAAAGTAAACTCATGAAACAGGCCTGGACAAAAATTATGGTACCCCTAGAAAAGACTGAAAATAATGTGACCATAGGGACATGTTCAATCAAGGTGTGTCCTCTCATTCGCATCACAGGTGTCTACAAACTTGCAATCAGTCAGTCAGCCTATTTATAGGATTACAAGTAGTCACTGTGCTGTTTGGTGACATGGTGTGTACCACACTAAACATGGACCAGATGAAGCCATGGAGAGAGTTGTCTCAGGAGATTAGAAAGAAAATTATAGACAAGCATGTTAAAGGTAAAGGCTATAAGACCATCTCCAAGCAGCTTGATGTTCCTGTGACTGCAGCTGCACATATTATCCAGAAATTTAAGATCCATGGGACTGTAGCCAACCTCCCTGGACGTGGCCGCAGGAGGAAAATTAATGACAAATGAACGAGATGGATAATACGAATGTTAACAAAAGAGCCCAGAACAACCTGCAAAGACATTAAAGGTGAACTCCAAGGTCAAGGTATATCAGTGTCAGATCGCACCATCCATCGTTGTTTGAGCCGAAGTGGACTTCATGAGAAGTCTATGATTAATTGCAGTGATTGCCTCAAAAGGTCGTGCAACAAAATATTAAGTTAAGAGTACCATCATTTTTGTCCAGGCCTGTCTCATGAGTTTATTTTTAAAAACAATTATGTTAAACCACGGTTCAAAAGCAATGTCTGATTTTCATTGATAAATTTTCATAGAATTTTTATGTACTTTTACTTTTGTCAGATTCAAGTTATTTCTGTTACCATTGTGGGTTTTTCTTTCATTAACCGAGGGGTACCAACAATTTTGTCTTCGTGTGTGAATGTTTAGTCAAATTGTCTGTTTCCTATTTTGTACAGCTAGCTTTGATTTGTTAGTTTTACATTGCATTATGAAGAGTTGCTGTAAACGCCTCCCAACAGCTGTCACATCGTGGTGGACATTGCTAATTGTATGTCCAACATTTGTTTCTGAGATCAATAAGACTGATCACTAATTTTACTCATTTGAGATTTAAGATGCTTCTTACACTCTGAAATGTGTAAATTAATGTTTAACGTGTTTAAGAAAAAAAAAAAGTGCTGAATTAAGTTACACGTATTTGTCCGTGGGTACCGGAAGTTCAGTTCAATTATATCTGTATAGCACAGTTTACAACATATGTCACCTCACAGCCTTAACATAGTCAGTTATAGACCTTACGAATTTAAATAGAGAACCGAACAACACAAAGTAGCCTCTGGACTTCCTCTGACCAAGCGGTTGGCAAGGGCAAGAAGGAACCCACAAGGACTGTATTGGCCCCATTATATTCTATGATCAGTAGTAGCTCTACCTGATGCAGGATGTTGAAGATGAGCTGGTCTCTCTGCAGCAGGTCCTCCAGTGAACACCTGGCCCTCTCTGCAGCCATCAGCGCTTCAGAGACTTTAGGAGGCACAGAGCTGGATACAGTCAGAACCTGAATGATACAGATAGCAGAGCCACAGCTCATATTTGACACAACAGATATTACACAAGTCCTGCATTCAGCTGCAAATAGAGCTGGACTATATCATACTGTGGACAGTAACACTTGTGAAATGTTAGAGGATGATATGAAACTGAAATATCGCGATAAAATCTTAGTGAAACATGCAGTGCCGTTGTTTTCGTCCGGTCTAATGCACATGGAGCAGAAGCATGATGGCGACCGAGGAGGAGGGCGAATGCAGTGCATTAACTGACACAGTAGAGCTGCACCCGGATATCGGAGTATTCGGTCGTTGTGGTGGATAGCAATTTACAACTGATGCACTATTTATTTTGGTACATTACAACTTAATGCACATCAAAAACAGCTGCTTGCTAAATGGATTTTTTTTTCCTTCTTTTTATTTGAACTAATAAAGTTGTGCAGTTTCAAGATATTTTGTCTGGCGTCGGTTCCATCGTCAGTTATATCGTTAGCCGAAATCTTCTCATTTATATCGTGATAAATATTTTTGGCCACATCACCCTGCACTCGTTGAAAAGCACAGTTTAAATTTCTCCATGGTTATTGAAAAAACTCCTGAAAACTCATCTTTGTGTATAAGAGTTAGGCACAGTCATGACTCGAAATTCCGACCCTTGACAATCTGACAGCCTTGCTATCCGACATATAAGAAGGTTTTACATTTAGTGTCGGATTATCGAGTCACGACTGTATTCAGATTTTTTGTCCATGAAACAAATCCCTTCCTGTCTTTAAATACCTGAGATATAAGTCTACACTGTTGCTTCCTTGAGAATGTGTACATCTGTCAAATCCCCATTTCTCTGTCCACCCACTCCTCCCCACTCACCAGAGATCAATCACACGAGCTCATTATCCCTCTGCTACTCCTCTGGACTACATAGTGGCAAGTTGTGATATTGCAATAATTCAGCCATACATGTTTGAAACAGAAAACAATTCCGGATGATCGTACAGACCACATTGGTTCCTTTGGTTTGGTGCACATGAATCCCCAGAAGACAGTCTTTGGTACACCACAGTTTCTAGGTGAACATGCTTAGCTTCGGTGTTGGCTGCATTTGTTGCCGGTAGAACGTGATTCAAAAACCACGTTTTCATGATTTCCACGACCCCAAAACGGACGCTGATAGTTTCCGTAAAGTCGAGTGAATGCTGGGGAGTCTCCCAGGGACACTGGAGGAGGAGCGCTATGGTTTTTAGCAAAGTTTTATTAGGAAATGAATGAATCCTGGTGCAGGTCTGGAGGAGATCTGCTGCTCAGACGGCAGGGAACAGAAGCTAACAGAGCCGAGGAACAGGTAGGAGCAGGGGCTTGCTGCTGCTGTAATTACAGATATCTGCAACATCAATTCGCCTCGTCAAAACTCTGCTTCAAGATACCTGTGATTACATTTTGACTAGTCAGAATAAAAGTTAGAGATATCTCAAATTTGAGATATCTTTAACCACAATTCATTCATAGATATCTGTAACTTGATAACAGATATCTGCAACTAAATTATGACTATCCATGAATCTAGTTTGAGATATCTACAATTTCATTCTGACTACTTCCAGTTCCAGATATCTATACCGTCATTTTGACTACTTATGACAAAATTAAAGATATCTACAAATGCCGTAACAGATATATATCTTTAAGGGAGGGGAGTTGAAGATATCTTGATTTGGAATTGTGACGAGTCAGAATGAAATTGTAGATATCTCAGAATGGAATTATGGATAGTCATAATCTAGCTGCAGATATCCACATCTATCCATAAGTGAATTACAGATATCTGTAATGAGAAACCCTGTACACGTCAATGGGGAAAGAGGAATTACATTGTGGATATCTGAAATGTTCATTTAGACTAGGAAGAATTTAATTGTGGACATCTGTATTACATATTCAGACTACCTAATAAATGTTAAAAAGGCTGGCCATGGAAGTGGGCTACACCTGCATCTGGTAGGGTCCATCTGGTCGCTGTGTAGTAGTAATCTGAAAACAAAGTGTTAGCACAGACTCTGTGGTTTCCGCTGCTGGTTTTAAATCTCCTCTAACAAAGCGTGGTGTTCATGTATTCAGGTATAAACAGTCAGTAAACCGCTACAGACTCCTGTTGCACCACTTCTGTGCATTACCTTTACATGTGCAATACTGTACTGTAATTTTAACTGTTTCCTAATTTATTACTTGGTTAAGGCAAGTTTATGTCTCTTTTTTATTTACGTAGTACTTTCATACTTTTCTTTCACATATCTTATTTGGGATTTCTCAGATTTAGACTCTATATTTACTCCTGTCTTGTCATTGCTGTGCAACATCTCCTTCACCGCTCAGTTGGCAATAAAAAGCTTCTGATTCTGACTCTGAGGCAGCTTGGGGGCAGGGCTACCTTGTGATTGACACGCCTCCACCGTATGGCTACACATATGCTACGCATGCCTGTGTGCTCCTGCCAACCCCGTCCGGATTCCAGTTAGCACAACGATCGCGGCGGCAACGTTCCGCACTGGAGGCTTCAAAACAAACAAACACAGCCTATAGCGAAGCATGAGTTTATGAGGCAGCTGCAGCCTGATTACAGAGACATCATCAGTAAACGTGTAGTGTCACTGATGCAACGAAGAAAACCATCTTATTTAAATTCCGTTTCCACAAAGTCTTACTAAACATACAAGGCGATAAGAAGAGAGACATGTCCGGTTTTACACGCGTCCGGAAATGCTTTTTTTGTCACAGCTGTCGGCTCACCTGCTCTTCCAGTGCGCTGTTTTCCGCTCTCAGGCTTTGCAGCAGGTCGCCAACGTTGGTCAGGAATGTGATTTCGCAGCCTTCCTGTTCGCCCAGAAAATCCACTACATAGTCCCGTAGTTTCTCCGGATCTGCCGACAAAGACTCTCTGCTCTGTGTGGTCATGTGAACGGGTTTGATAAAGTTATCCGTCACTTTCATTGTGCGCTCCAGCGATGCTGTGCCGGGAGCAGCCATCTTCGCTCGGTCCCGGTGGCCACGTCACGCCGTCTCGACGTCTCTGCCGTCTGGCGTGCTGACGCAGCATCATGTTTTTATTGACCTTGTCCGCTTTGGGTGTTACCGTATAAATTCTGTATTAATGATGAAGTTAAACAAGTACACATTAATGTTTTGGACAATATGTATGAAAAATATTCATGCAAATTTTTTTTGAAATTGAAAATAAATGTACGTTCTGTGGGCGCAAGGTGGCTCAGTGGTGCCTCGCAGCAAGAAGGCTGCCGGCTGCCGGTTCGCGTCCCGGTGGGGGCGGAATCTTTCTGCGTGGAGTTTGCATGTTCTCCCCGTGCAGCGTGAGTTCACTCCGGGTTCTCCGGGTTCCTCCCACACAGTCCAAAAACATGTTGAGGTTAATTGGTGATTCTAAATTGTCCGTAGGTGTGACTGTGAGTGAGCTTGGTTGTCTGTCTCTAAGTGTGGCCCTGCGATGGACTGGCGACCTGTCCAGGGTGTCCCCTGCCTAACCCTAACCCTTTGAAAGCTTTTGTTTTACCTTAGCCATAAAAATAAGAATCGGCAGCTTAAAAATGACCTCTGTTATTGTATAAGTGAACTATGTGACGGGACTCACTCTTCGCTAAGTCAAACCAGGAGTCATAGAACACTATCAAAATGCTTACTTTGTCTGTATTTGAATGGGAGAATGATTTTATAATAAAAAAATGGCTTTTGTTAATACATTTGCTTGAAACTTGCATGCCTGACATCGCATCTTGATACAGACAACTTTATCAAAAAGACTTTGTTCTACTGAAAATAAATTGATTTCGCCTACGACTCAATTTTGGTTGCTTAATATGCCTAAAAAAGAGAAAAGCGTTTGGCTGTAAAATTGTCTATTTTCAGTTCTGATAAACCAGAGGAGTTACAGCCTGATTCAAGCTGCGCTGCGTCGAGCATAGAGGATTCACCTACAGTTTCAGTTTTGACAAATGGTCTGTTGTGTGCTCCCTTTAAAGTGAAAAGAGGTACAGCTCAAGGAAGTCTGCTCTCTCCTACTTTGTTTGCCCTGGCTATAGAGCCATTAGCATTGGCTAGGGAATACAGATGATATACTTTGACATTAACAAACCCCCCTAAATCATTAGTAGCCTTGACTAACTGTATACAAGAATTCAGCTTAATATCTGGATATAAAGTACATTTTAATAAGTCAGAAATACTTATCCTGGACAATAACTTTAACACTGAACCAGTTTATATTCAGCCCTTTCATTGGACTCCGTCTGGGTTTAATTATTTAAGAATTAGAATCACCCCCAAATGAATTAGTTATATGCAGAAAATATTAACCCTTTGATTGAAAGTGTCCAAGAAATGTTAACTAGATGGAAGAGCCTCCCTATGTCATCCTTGGCAGAAATAACCTCATCAAGATGACAGTACTTCCCAAAGTTTTAAAAATATAAATAAAGAAGTGTCAGACTTTATTTGGAATGGCAGGAAAGCAAAGATTAAATTAGCAAAATTACAACTTCCAAAGGAGTTAGGTGGATGGGACTTACATTATATTATCCACTCAAGCCTGGATTATCTCCTCATGAGTCAATGAATGTTCAGATTTCCTTTGGTTTGACATAGAATCCTTTATATGCAATCCCTTTTCTCCTGTAAACCTGTTGGGGAACAGCCTGAAAGAAATTCCAAACACTGCTAAGAACAACCCCTGAGGAATCTTCACCTTATCAGTGGAGGGGTTTTAGTGTCACTGTGATCCTGGGAGCTATGTTGTCTGGGGCATTAGCCCTTGGTAGGGTCTCCCAAGGCAAATTGGTTCTGAGGGAACGACCAGACAAAGAGCTCTTCACAGACCCGTGATGACATCTAAACAAAGCAAAGCCGCCACTTTGTCCAGACCAGGGAAACCAGAGCCTCCTCCTGGAGCCAGGCCCGGAGGGAGAGCTCGCCAGAGGGTGTCTGGTGGCCGAGCCTTGGGGCCCTGTGGGGCTCGTTCGTGCACAGCCCAAACAAGCATCACGGGGCCACTGTCCATCATGTGGTAGGCAAGAGCAGACGTCCTGGCGTACCGCCCCCTGTTGGCGTGGACTAGATCTGGGGATGTGGAACGTCACCTTACTGGCGGGGAAGGAGTCTGAGCTAGTGCAGGAGGTGGAGCATTATTGGCTAGATATAGTCAGGCTCACCTCCATGCACAGCAAGGTGTTCTGGACTCTCTCCTTTTCCAGAGTTGTCCAGAGTGAGCGGCGCCGGATGGGTGTGGGGATACTCAAAAGCCCCCGGCTGAACGCAGCCTTGTTGGAGTTCTCCCCGGAGAATGAGAGGGTTGCCTCTCTGCAACTGCATGTTGCGGACGAGAAAACGCTGACTGTCATTTGTGCCTATGCACCAAACAGCAGTCAGAGTATCTGGCCTTCTTGGAGTCACTGGGTGGTGTCTGGAAGGGGTGCCGTCATCATTCCCCTGGGAGACTTCAATGCTCATGTGGGCAATGACGGTGAAACCTGGAGGGGTGTGATTTGGAGGAACGGCCTACCTGATCTCACCTGAGCAATGTTCTGTCATTGGGCTTCTGCGCTAGCTATGGACTGGCCATAACAAACTCCATGTTCAAACATAAGTTTGCTCATAAGTGTACCTGTTACTAGAGCACCTTAGGCCAAAGGTCGATGATCGACTTTTGTAGTTGCATCATCAGACCTGCGGCCGTATGTTTTGAACACTCGAGTGAGGAAAAGAGCAGAGGTGTCAACGGATCACCACCTGGTGGTGAATTGGATTCAGACAGAAATGGTAAACCCAAACGTGTGGTGAAGGTCCATGGGGTTTTCAATTCCCACCTCCGGAAAAGTTTCTCCTGTATCCCAGCGGAGGTTGGGGACATGGAGTTGGGTTGGGCCATGTTCAAAGCCTCCATTGCAGAAGTGGCCATTAGGAGCTGTGGCCAGAAGGTCACTGGTGCCTGTCATGGCAGCAACCCCATAACCCGCTGGACACCAGCGGTGAAGGAAGCTATAAAGCTGAAGAAGGTGACTGGTTGGTGCGGGGGTCTCCTGAAGCAGCAGACAGGTACCGGTTGGCCAGAAGGGCTGCAACTGCAGCGCTTGCGGAAGCTAAAACTCAGGTGTGGCAGGAGTTCAGGGAGGCTATGGAGAAGGACTTTCGGTTGGCCTTGAGGAAGTTCTGGCAAACCATTCGAAGCAATTCATTGGAAATCCCAAACGATTCCCATCCGTTAGATGGTTTAAACTAAGCAATCCTTTGCATCTTATTGATGGTGGGATCTTTGTAAATTCCAACTTTAGGATCATGGTAATCAATAAGGCAATGTCTATTTAAAATATAGTATTTTTCACTTTAAAATAGTAACCTATGTTAGACCTTAGCCTACCAGTAGGTTGCAGTGTATTTTGCACCACCAACACCAGCCAGCGGTCTCCGTGACTGAAGCCTCTGCCATATTTTCACCAATGAACTTTATGGACATCTATGTAGATTTATTACTCTTGCCATGTTGATACAATATCAAAATCCACTGGGCCTATCTAGCATCGGATATTAATTGCTTAATTGCACCATGTTGTACACATGTGTGGAAGCCTCTGAATTCATTGTGTTTCTCCACCCATGCATCTGCAATGCATGCTGATATTGTTAGATATTTGAATTCACAAGAAGCCTAATGACAGCATTTTTTCAGAAGTTAAAGTTCAATATGTAAGTTGAAATTATTACCTTCGACAAGTAGGTTATGTTTTAGCCGTTGTTTATCTGTTTGTTTGTTAGCAAGATAACTTGAAAAGTTATAAGCGGATTTTCATGAAATTTTTGTGAAATGTTGATAAGGGCACAATGAACAGATGATTAAATTTTGTTATACCATGGTCTGGGTGAATACTCGATTCTGATTGGCTGCAGGGTGTCCATTAAAAAGTGATATAGGACACCTATAAAGAAGTTCCGGTCAAATAACCTGATTGTTCTAAATTAATGCGCTGACTCAAACGGTAGTTGGTAACCGTGGCAACAGAAACTCAGAACATACGTTAATATACGTTATTTCAGTTTATTTATCACAACGGCAAGACAGCAATAAAAACATGAGTGATTTTATAGTTTCATTTAACCTATTTGGTGAATTTGACAATTTTGAAGACTGGGATACAGCAGAAGAGAAAGAGAGAAGAGAATATAAGAAGAAGGAGATGCGACACAAGGAGGTGACACCGGAGGAACTGAACAATTTAGAGGATGAAAAGGACGAGGTAAACACAAAGAAAACCACGAAATGGGCTGTTAAAACATTAAGAGACTTCCTGGCTCAGAAAAACCTGGACACTAACTAGAGTGAATGGTGGATAGTATTTCTTGCAATAAAAACGATTTAGGAAACAATCTGTGGACTTTGATTCTTTTATATATATATATATATTATATATATTTATATTTCGCATCATCCTCTGGACACACACAAGCGGTAAGAGGTGCACTTGCCCTCACGTTAAGCAATCATCTCACTTCCCTCCACTTAGGCCTAATATAACAGCTGCGGCCGACCGGTTACCTTGGCAACGCGTCACAACGAGAGACATGAAATAGTCCGCTCAGCCGCTTGTTGTGGAAAACTTACGATTTTAACGGTAAAAAACAACATTAACGTATTAATAATTGATTTAATATTTATTTAGTAATATCTTTCGTAAGTGACCATGGTATAAGCGGGATAATGCCCTTCGAGGTGTCCATTATCAGAAATTAATGGACTTCGCGGAAGCAACCGTCCGACGCGAAGCGGAGGACGGTTGCTTCCGCGAAGTCCATTCATTTCTGATAATGGACACCTCGTCGGGCATTATCCCTTACATAATGTTCTAGCTTACCATCTGGTTATTTTCTCATGAAACAGTAAATGCTGTTAAGTGTCACAGACGTGCAGAATGCCGTCATTGCGCCATTTGTCCACTAGATGGAGCTCTGACTCCATTCAGTCCTTCAGTCCTCACCACTGTCTTCTCAGTAGTACAGGAGGAAGCTACAGCCAGGCAGCACTACAGGAGTGGGCTGAGTGGAGCTACTGACAGATAAGTTCAGAACCATGTTGTGACATTAACAATGAATCAGCATGTCTCCTGTTTAACTTTAACTCTCTTTGCCATGTATCAGGACAACTGACGTGTGCGTCGTTGCGTTGGTCATGCTTTTCATTTATGTTGCTAAAGTTGTGCTAACCTAGCTTAAGCTACTCCCTGTCTGTTTATGTTAGTAATAACATGGTGGTAGTTATGCCTAGCATAGCGTTAGCTAACAGTTTAAAGCCAGTAAGGAACTGCAGAAATAAATGTACAAAGTATTGTAGAGTTCATCACTCCATCACCACTCCATGTTATTAATGATATCAATGTTAATTCAAATGCCAAAGGTGTGTTCTGATTCTCCATGAATCTAATACCGTAGATAAAATGAATGCAGGACTTTAACATCAGCTGGAATCACAATATGGGGGAAATGAGCTGCTTGGCGGAGGTCTGCGCTCTCAGAGGGCTTTTCCAGTTTTAGATGTAATGTATTTTTGTGATAATGTTTTAGAAGTTTTACGCACACTGCAGTTTTAACTGGATGTACTCAGTCATGGCATTGAGTGCTTATATCACTCGGGATATGTCTTTACACATATACAACCATTCTGTTGACATGCTAATAAAGTTTGAAAAAAATATTTTTTTTATTTTTACAGGACAGGGTCTTTAAAAGATCTATCAAATCTGTCTCTGTCAGCAAATCCTCTCAATCATTGCGACAAAAGAACGTTAAATTATTTACAGAAAAACCAAAACAAATGTGTACAATTACTTATGGGTAGTTTGCAGTGGCAAAGGTCTTTCAATAAAATACAAAATAACACCACAAACTGCATAAACATTATTTTCAGTATATGGCACATAAATGTTTTTAGGCTCACTCTGTAAATACAATAATTTTCTTGAAATAAATCATGCATACACTCCATCAAATGTATTCTGACAGTTAAATCCAGTGAATCAGGCGACAGTGCTGATTTTTCCATGAAAGTCATCAGTTGAATGTATAGTTCTTAAAAAGGAAACCTAACTTCATACAAGCATATCGTAGTTCAACATGGTAGATCGAGTTGCTGGTCAGTGCTCACCATAAAAACTCTTCTGCTGTAAATATGGAGTAAAAGGCCAGAGTCTGTCAGGGTGCTGGCCTGTGGGCTTGTATGAGTCTGATGGTCACCCTGTTACTCTGCAGGTCAGTCTCAATATGACAGCACAAGACTATCTGCCCAACAACATTATTTTTCCACATATACGTAAGTGTGCTTGTGAACGTGCAGCTGAGTCACGTGGATGCCCAGTGTGTCATCACTGCTGAAACCTGGACTGAGTGACACTGATGCACATTCATGGCATTATACTGCTGTAACTGCCCCAAACAAATCTTTTTAGTTTCTCCTTGTGACAAAAGGGCCTTTTATTATAAACAGATCTTTTTAGCATTAAACAGTTGTTTCAAAAGTTATTCAGACCTCTTCATTTTTTTCCAATATGTTTTTTGTGGTATTGAGTTTATCTTTCCCCAACAGTGAAACACCTAGGGAAATTAAGGAAGAAATTAATGAGAGTGATAAGGCCAAAGAAAGATTGGTAGAGGCAAAGGAAAGCATATGAGGCACAGGACACACACTGTGGGGGCTGCTAAAACTACAGATCAATCTGTAAGCAAGGCTAATGGACCAGAAGGATGGATGTAGAAGACGGATTCATGGCATTTGTAAAGTGCTGAAGAAACTCATCTTCTATGGTTTTCATTGTTACATCATTACTGAAAGAGAGCTTGGTCCTTCTGCCCTCTTTAGACCTGAAGATTGAATGGGCACACTGGGTCCCAGGTGTCTCAGAAGAGGACCCAAATGTGTACACAATGGCAGGTTTTAAAACATCCATCCATCCATTATCTCTACACCTTAATCCTCACTAGGCTTGTGGTGGGTTGGAGTCTATCCCAGTTGACTCAGGGTGAAGGCAGGTTCACCTGGACAGGTAACCAGTCTATCACAGGGCTACACTTAGAGACAGACAACCAAGCACACTCACATTCACACCTATGGACAATTTAGAATCACCAATTAACCTCAACATGTTTTTGGACTGTGGGAGGAAGCCGGAGAACCTGGAGAGAACCCACGCTGCACGGGGAGAACATGGAGACTCCATGTAGAAAGATCCAGGGTGTCCTCACCACGACGCGAACTGCCGACCTTCTACCTGCGAGGCAACAGTGCTAACCACTGAGGCAGGCTTTTTTCCCAGCCAATACAAAAATAGCTTTGGTGCCAAAGATAGATCATCAAAACAGGGAGCAGGCAAAGGCACCAAAACGTTCAAAAAGTCAAGAAAGAAGAGAAAACACTAAATACAAAAATGAGAGGAGAACGGGTAGAACTTAAGCCGGTAAACAGCCAAGTGAACGTCCAGACCAGAAACAAAACAAGGTAGAGAGAAGACCATACTGTACACACACACACACACACACCCACACACACACACACACAAGAAGAAAAGGGATACAAAAAAAAATTCTGGCAACCTGGCTGATGGTGAGGCAAACACACAGGACTGTTTCAAGGACAGCCAAACGCTGGTCATGCAGGTAAAACCTTAGGAGAACAGCTTGGAGGAAAGGTAGGCTGATGAGGCAGGTCAGGGGGATGGTTTAGAGGCAGGGCAGACAGACAATAGGAGGATGGTGGTGAAGCAAGGAACCTCCCTGAGGGTTTGGCAGGAGGCTGAAGAGACATCATCAGACTCAAGAATAGTGAAAACATGAGCTGACTTTGACGCAAACAAAGTGGGGTTCAAATTATAAAAAATATGCACATATTAAAAATGTGTATTTTCTTATATTTTGGGAACAATTTTGAAACTCGACAACTCTGTTCTGTTAAGTAACATGTCTGTTTTTGTAAGAAAGTTTGTCGCACATCAGAAAGTTAAACAAAAATAATGTACTTTTAAAGTATTTTATATTAAATATGATTCTATTTATTTTTAGTATTTTTTGACATGCATCCACATCAGTAAATATCAGTAGTTGAGTTTTCATGACCACTTCAATTTTTTAAAAATTATACTTTATCCATTAAAACATGAGTTTTGGCTTCAATTGTCGAAGTTACTCCTCCCCCCTTATTATGTGAGTCGTTAGTGCTCCCAGTGATACAATAGGGTTCATTAGGGTCCCTCTTGAAACCCAAACTCAGGTGTTAATGGCTCCTTAAGGATATCAATATCTGGAACTCCCAACTAGTCAGTCAGAACTGATGAAGCCTCTTGGATGAGAGGTGGAATGTCTTCAAGGAACTCAAGCAGGTCCAGTTGCTATGATTAATCTACGAGAATAACCATGACCTGGAGGACTGAGGATCTTCATAGATATGTGTAGTATTGTTTACAGTATAACAGTCACTACTGCTGCGATCGGTGATAGGCTGCTGTCACTAGCTGTAACGCATCGGCTTCTTTACTTCACAAAAACTGTCCTATCTTTTCTGCCCTTTTATTAAGATGTCTAAGATGTCTTTCTAAATGTGGAGGACATACAAATATTAATTAAAGGTACTGGAGCTACTCAACTACTGTCGACTAGTCAGCATCAACTGCTCAAATGTACCGTCACACAGCCGGAAGCTTCATGGGAGTTACATCGTAGTTTGATGACGCCATCACTCTTGCAGGCTACTTAAGGTCACTTCGTCATGAAATTCTCACTGACTCACCCCTGTACGCGCACACACACACACACACACACACACACACACACACACACACACACACACACACACACACACACAAAATGTCAGGTTTACCGAGTTGTGAGGACATACAGAGAAAAAGCGAGAGGCAATTAATGACGGCCTTCTGTGTGATGCTACACTGTTTGAATTACGTAGATACTAGGGGTGTCCTCATAATCCCCTACTGTCCTCATAACGTAAGTGTGTAAACTGATAAAAAGTCTCCATAATCAACACACACACACACACACACACACACTGCAACAGGGTCAGTAGAGAAATGATAAAAAGTAATGAATCAATCAATGAACAACAAAAAGGACGACTAAAACATGTTATTTTGGTAAAATAATTATGTTGTTATTGCTATTATTTTGTTATGTGACGCTGAAAACATTCCATATTGTAAACATGTGTCGACAACACATTGGCAGAGGATGCAGGTGTAAAGATGAAGCTGCATAAAGGACATTATGTTGTGATGCAGTGAATCACTGATCACTATAAATGCTGCTTTCTGCCCCACCCTCCCTCTCTCTCCTGTAAAAGGGAAACTGTCAGTGAGCGACCCTCATACCAAGCTTCTGTGGTTTTTGAACAGAAACGCTTCTACACATTTGCTGCTGTGAGACAGGAACCCTCCACATCTGGCAGGATGCCTGGAAAACTCAGATCAGGCAGGTATTTGAGGAGCAGAACTTTGCACGAAGGAACCGGCAGGAAGGACTGTCATCCTGTACATACCTTCACTTGTCCATTTTCTTCGACCTGCGGCTCCAGGATAACCTTTTCTCTTCATTTATCTCTTGATTTCCCTCCTGTCTATTTATAAGTCCACACTTTCAATGGGGACCTTCCCAAGACTAACATATGATTCAGGTTCCAGACTTCTTCGTTTTGTGTTTCATGTTTTGTGTTTCATGTTTAGTTTCTTGACCTTCCCTTGGTCTGTGGTTCCTCCTAGTGGGTGCTGTCTGGCCGGTGCTGGTCGGTTTGGTGTTCTGTGGCGAGCTGACCACTGTGGATGCGGCACCCCTCTGTACCAACGCCCAGGCCGGGTGCCACGTCCTCTCCCTGGCCAACCTGTTCGACCGGGTCATCCAGCATTCGGCCAGGATGCACGGCATTTCAAATGACCTTCACTCTGAGTTTGTAAGTCTCCTCATGCAAACAGCCTCACAATGCTTTTCTAATAAATGAATAATCAGTGAAAAAGTCTGACTGAAACTGTTATACTGGCTTTTTGTACAAAGTGCTCAACCAAGAAACAACATATAGACACTCAGTTAGCAATGAATAGGTACACCCAGCTAAAACTAGTCTGTTATTATAACTAAATGCAGTAGTGCTGCTTTCCTGCTTTAATGTTCTGTCAGTGATCGCATTTCTGTAAAGAATGGTGTGATTGTTTGTTTTCCTGTTGAACTTTAATGAGTATTTCTATTATTTTAGCCCGTGTATATTTACATGGGTAGGAGTACATATAGAATGAATCAACACCTCGTTTGATTGGCTCTAAGCTCTACCTTTGTGCTGTTAGGCTGACTTAGCTTTAGCTTAATGTGCTTAACAAACAGGCAATCACACACACACACAAACACACACACACACACAGACACACACACAGGCAGCAGGCCATTCTACTACTCCATTCACCACATCTGTACTCCAGCTACGGCTGACATTTAGATGACATCTGACCTCCGATATTTCATTCATGTTTCTCCTGTCAGGAGCTTTACTTCCTGCCCAGTAAGAATCAGATTGGCCGGGTCAGTCGCAACTGTCACACATCTACCATCCTCACCCCAAATGGCAAAGAGAACGCACAGAGAATGGCGGTGAATGAACCTTTCTCAAAGTTATTTCCTTTTATCGGCATCAGCTGTTCATATTTACAAAAGGAATACAGAGTTCTCTCATCCTCTGCATTGTTCTTCCTTTGTTTTCATGTTCAACACACCATTTGGATGTTGAACACATTTTTCCCTTTAATTTTTCCAGACTTTCCATCAGTGGTGGCTGGTGTTTGGTGGGTGGTGGCGTAGTCTGCAAATGACCTTTTATTTTGAATCAGAAATTAGAATATGAGTAACATCAACTATTTACAGGAACGTTCTACCTTTGGAGGATGTTCTAATCATAATCTAATTTAACATTATCAAGACTGACCAGAACTACATTTCAAAACCATTCATTAAACTTTCATCAGTATTTACAGGATCTGTACAAACTCAAAACACATCAAGAATGAAAAAACACTATTCAGGGTTCCAGACGAACTTCAGACTAACAGCGACACTCATACAGTTTCATGCTCATCAGTTCACATTCTCAAAAACAGGTCACAAATGCAGTCTGGAGCTATTTGAACAAAAGATTGGCTCTTCTCTCTTTCTGTTCTACAAACTTCTCTATGACTTTTCGGTTGAAGTCACTCATCTCTGTGGCCAACCTTTTCTCTATTAACAGCATGGCCAATGCATTAAGCCACCAGTCAGTAGCTGTCATCTAGTGGAAGAGGAGGGGAAAGGCCATGACAGTGTCAGAAAGCACAGTCATAAGAACGTCAAAGGACAGTTTTGATATCCAACCACAGAAGACAAAAGCAAATCAAGATAAAATTAATTGGCTTACAGCAAAAGTGGGCAGGTTCAGGACGCACTGAGCTGCACTCCGTGATAAAGTCTGCAGCTGCCAATCAGAGCCCAGGACAAGGTCACATGATCACGAAAAGTTTTTCGAGCTACATACACACTCATGTGGCTGCGGCCCGCATCCAGGAAGTGGAAAATTAGAAAACACACAGTAAAGACTAAATCTGTTTAGAAATCTGTTTTTAAATCTGTTAATCATACAAAGAATATGAACAGTATTAGTAATTTGTTATTGTTTTGTTATAATTAATTCAAATGTAATATTGTGTTTGGGAGCTACTCTTTATCTGGTCATTGGCGGCGGGGCGGTGCCCCCTATTGATCAGCCGCCACTGGTTTCCATGTATCATCTACACTACTAAATTTTATTTTTTTTCTCCCCAATTGTTTTCTTTTAACTTTTGTTTGTGCATCATCCCAATACTCCAACAATTATCAGTGGTAGAAATGTAGATACACATCTGTCATGACTCAAGGCCAGTCTGAACCGTCTGTTAAATGTGTTATTTGTTCACACTGCAGAGAGAAGAACTGACAGAGGTGATTCTGAAGCTCCTGGTGGCATGGAGAGATCCTCTGTGGCATTTCCACCAGGGCTTGGCTCACCACCATGACTTTAACAACTTCAGCTCCAATAAATCTCTTGAAATGAGTGACATGGTGCACGAGCTACGCAAGGGTGTCCAGAAAGTTGTGGAGAAGGTACAGTATGCCTACATTCCTCAAGTGGTAGAGGGTACTGTCCTCTAGTGTTAAGGTTTGATCCATGTCATTGGGCAACACACTGAACCTCAAGCTGCTCATGATGGCGAGGCACCTTTTGCAGCTTTATTCTATGAAGCACAAAATTCTAGTTGAGAGAGCAGTCAGCTCAATACGTATAAAAACACCAGTTTCAACATGAAAATTATACTAACGAATAAAAGTTTTTAAAAAACATTTGCATTTTTAAAAAAAAACTGAAGCCTAAACATACATTTATTTTGCATGTTGGCGCTTTATGAAATGAAATGAATGAAATGAAAAATACTTTATTTATCCCAGAAGGGAAATTCAATAAATTTTGTTATATATATATATATATATATATATTATTATTATTATTATTATTATTAATAAATTATGTTAACATCTCTACCCTCTGCTGTGCTTTGTTGTAGCAGCATAATAACGTGTCATTGCATCTCGTCTCAGTAAAATGTGGTTTCTATTTTGTAGCAGGAGGTTTTATATTTTTGGCTGATGTACTGTTAATACAAATGTGTTAGTAAGAAAAGAGCAGGCACAAGGACTTGCTGTATGTCTGGTATGAGTGTGGTTATAATAAACATGACACGTGTGGAGTCTGTTTTCTAATTGTACATTAAAATGAAATTAATAATTATTAACCAAATCAAATCAAAAAATATGGCTATCATGAATATCTCCTTTGAGTTAATGTACCTGTTCTTTCAAGGATCTACATGTATTTAAAAACATGTCTGCTTCTTGATCAATGAGCAGTAATGGGAGGAAGCTACCGTGCTTTTGTGTGTCCTTTTCGCTTCAGATGCAGACGTTAGGGATAATCAGTAACTCCATCAGCAGCCTGGCTTCTCCTGAGGTTTTGCTGGCGTCCAACAGTGCCGAGTGGCGCCTAATGAAAGACTATGATCTTCTCTACTGCTTTCGCCGAGACTCCAACAAGGTCCAGAACTACCTGAAGATCCTCAAGTGTCGCATTGTTCCGGAGCATGGATGCTGAAGGCCAAGCAGTGACGGAGGCGTTGCTCTACCTTCTGAAATCTCAGCATTGGAACGGAAATCTGAACTACACGGATAAAGCTGTAGTTTTTGTTGTGTTTTCTATATGCAGAGTATCGGATGTTACCTGACACACACATATGGTCAATTCTACCATGACTGAAGTGCTATTGGAACGCAAAGACTCTGTCCCATCCTGATATTATATAATCCATCCTGGGATGGAATTACAGTAATACGTGTTATAATACACTCCTGAAAAATGCATATCATGTTGAAATATACTAATAATATATAAATATTTCAAGAAAAAAAACATGTTTTTTTCTGTCATTTCTGCTGGGAAGACACTTAAAAAGAGAAGGCTCCACTGCTGCAGAATGCTACAGCTTCCCCCATAAAGTCATCACAGCATCACAACAGTCCATACAGGAGGCCTAAAGTTCACCGAAGAAAGGATGTCCTAATACAGCACTCCTACACCATATGAAAGTAGCTGGAAGCGGGAGGTCAAATGTGCCCATCCCTTATAACAGGTGTCAGTGGAAACAGTCTCCAACAACTCTTTCAATGCACACAGTCCAGGTCACAAGTATTTCAGCAGTTTTTGTTCTTCAGATTTCTATGCTTTAGCACGCCACATTTGAAATAAAATACTGAAACGTATTAACGTTAGGGTGCCAAGTAACAGCTCTAGTTTGACGAGGTTTGCATGAGTACAGATATAACTCTTCGAACAACTCAAAATAAACTGAACTGTTGCATATGAGGTAAAACAAAGTAATCTTAGATGTTTACAGAGGCCACGTTTACCTGTAGCCAGTATTCACAAAAACGGATCTACGTTTTCAAAAATAACATCATTCACACCAGATCATGTTAAAAAAAAAAACCTTTCTTTACACAAACCCGCATAAACACGTCGTTAAGAGCGGCTATGAGCTGCCAGACCTACAGGGGGCAGTGTAGCGAGAAGCATGAAGCCATGCTAGCCAATCAGAATCCTGGAAAAAACACAACAACGAAAGCTTCCTGTTACTTCAACAATAATGGGGTAGTTTATTTGGACCGACAGAGAAGTGGAGCTACTCCTACATGTGATGTTAGAGTACACAACAAGGAAAACACTGAAAATATTGACTGGAAACATGTCAGTCCAAGTATATGGACCTAGCCAAACTGTAAACATGGTCGTAGAGACCACCAATCACAGCAAGTCATCCAGATCCTGAGCAGCAGAGCAGCCCCAGACCATCACACCACCACCACCACCACGTCTGACTGCTGCTGTGATGTTCTTTATCTGAAATGCTGTTATTTTAAAGCCAGATGTAACGAGACACGCACAGCTTCCAAAAAGTTCAGCTTTGGTCAGTCCGTAGAATATTCTCCCAGAAGTCTTGGGGATCATTCAGAAGTTTGTTTGCAACAGTAAGACGAGCCTTCATGTTCTTGGTCAGCAGTGGTTTTGGCCTTGGACTCTGCCATGGAGGCCATGTTTGCCCTGCAGTCTCTTCCTTATTGCTGAGTCATGAACACTGACCTTAGCTGAGGCCAGGGAGGCCTGCAGGTCTTTAGATGTTTTCCCGGTTCCTTTGTGACCTCCTGGATGAGTCGTCACTGTGCTCTTGGGGTCATTCTGGTTGGTTGGCCTCCTGGGAAGGTTCGCCATTGTTCCATGTTTCTCCATCTGTGGATGATGGCTCTCAGCGTGGTTCTCTGGAGTCCTAAAGCTTTAGAAATGGCTTTGTAGCACTTTCCAGACTGATAGATGTCAGCTACTTTATTTCTCATCTGTTCTTAAATTTCTTTGGATCTTTTGTTGCAGCTTTTTGAGACCTTCTGACCGACTTCATTCTGCCAGACAGGTTCTGTTTAAGTGATTTCTTGATTGAACAGGTCTGGAGGTCATCAGGCTGTGGTCAGTGAAGTTGAACTTTCCAAAAAATGTGATCAGCCACAGTTAATTCATGGTTCAACAAGGAGGGCAGTTACTTTATCACACAGGGGCAGGTAGGTCCGAATAGCTTTTACCTTAAAACATTAAATCATCATTTGAAAACTGCATTTTGTTTTTACTTTGGTTATCTTTGTCTGATATTTACATTTGTTTGATGGTCTTAAACATTTAAATGGGGGGAAAAGTTTAAAAAAAAAAAAAAAAAAAAGTTCAAGAAGGGGGCAAATACTGTTTCACGGCACTGTACCTATCTAGATATAGTTGCCACTTAACACTCCTACCATCACCACGGGCGTCTGGCCGTCCTGATCGTAGCGTTTGATCAAAGGCTACCATTCCAAACTCTTTTGTACAGAATTTTGAAACACAGCTTGTACTTGTATTCAACGTTATTCCATGCATGTAAAGAAACTCACGAGGTAATAGATTTATACATTTAGTTTATTGAGTGAGAAATGGGGAAACAAAATAGAAATTACACCAACACTGTGCCCAACTACGGTTAGGATTGTAGATCTGTGGCTTCATGATGCTGCTGCTGCTGCTGCTGCTGCTGCTGCTGTTATGGTGACGACCTCTGATTTTCCAGTCGTCTGCTCTACACAGGACACATGAATGGAGCCATCCCTGAAACACAAAGAAACCATGACACAACAGCTATCTCATGAGGCGGGCCATGCACTGATCCAGCGAGGACTCGTACCTTTTCATAGTCACCACCACGTCAATGTTGTGGTCTGCTTCACTGGGCTGCAGGTCTCTGAAGACAATCTGTATGTTGGACACATAAACACATACACAAGAGCAGACAAAATGGTCAACAACAGTCATTTTTTTCTATCAATTTCCTTTTTCTTTTTAGATACAGACTAGTCCTCAGTGAAGTTCTATAAACCTGCTGTGTGTGTGAGAGAGAGCTGGCCCCACCCCGTGCACACTGACTCAGAGAAAATTATTCTGGACTGAGGAAAAGCAAAAATGCAGGTAAACTGTGACAGTGTTGATCAATAATAAGTAGAAAATCTATTTTCTTAATCGGTCTCGTAGCGACAGTAGAGCTGACAACCTCAGAGTTTATTTATCCTCTTGAGTTTACCTATTTAACCTCAGAGCCTGTTAAACACCTGGTTTTGGTACTAGTCATCAGTGCCTAGTACTGCTGTGCACCCAAGGGTAGTAACGGTCTGACGTTTGGTTTTCTGTACCTTAGATAGCTGTTCTGGCTGCTCCATGACAAATCTCTGGTAAATATCCAAACAGAGGGAGGACTGTTTTCCACCTCCACTCAGGACGTGATGTCTGCGGGCAGGTAGAGGCATACCAGACGGAAGGAGAACGGTGAGAACCTCAGCTCCAGATTCATCCACCTCCTGCAACACACATCACCAAGCCATGTACTGTTACACAACTCAGCCACAACAAAAACGTTCTGGTTGTGTAGATCCCCCTGATGGTGCTGAAACAACTCTCAATACACGGGGCACGTATATGGTGCTGCTTCTCCCAAGGAGGAGGGTATACTTGACCTGTAACAGTGTTTAAGTTGGTGGTGTGTGGTAAAGAAGAACACCCCCATGAATGCCAGGACCCAAGAGTTCCCAGGAGAGCAATGCAAGGTAATAAGATGAACAATGCTATTTACTTGGATGAGCTGCTAGTGGCTGATCAGTGTACATATATAATGAGTCAGACCTACTGAGAGAATAAAAACATGTACATTTAGACACATGCAAAAATCTGAATGATCAGTTTTCCTGCCATATACAAAATACTGAGAGTTTCTGACCGAGATCCTTCATCCACCAGGGCTGTCAGGTTCTCTAAGTCAGCTGTCAATCTGTTGATTTTGTGTGTTTCCAGCACCATACCATGGGAAAAGTCCCGTTGCCAGCTTAGTATGAGCAGATATCCTGTCACATTTAGACCACACATGGGCTCTATGTGGGTGTGTGGATGAATCTGAGTAAATCTGAACAGCTGGGATCAAATAAGCTGAGTGACAGCGCCCACACAAGCATTAGGTAGGTAGGTAGGTAGAGGTAACCCCGCTGACTGCATACCCAGACCATGTTGGTAGGTAGAGGTAACCAGGCTGACTGCATACCCAGACCATGTTGGTAGGTATAGGTAACTCCACTGACTGCATACCCAGACCATGTTGGTGAGGGATTACGTAGCGTTGTGCCCTGTTGTGGAGCTCCCAAGACCCAAAGCCGTGACATTATAAACTCCTAGTAGGGCCAACAGAGTTCCAGTCATGTTATCTGACAGTACCTTTATTAGTATGTCAGCGGCAGAGACATCCACTGTGACAGACTCTTCCTCAAGGACAAAGCTATCGCTGCCAACCAGCAAGCCGGCTTCCAGTGCGGCTCCCACAGCAATGACCTCATCAGGGGGCGCTGAGCTGAGAAGCTCTACATCAGGAAACATCTCACGCATTATCTGCTGGAGACGAGGGATTCTGGCTGAGCCGCCACAGAGGACCACCTGAAACATACAGAGTTGAAATCAGAAGTTTACATCCACTGTATAAAAAGGCAAAGCCTTTTTTTTCCTCACTGTCTGACATTATATCAGACTAAACTTTTCCTGTTTCAGGTCAGTCAGGATTACCAACATTATTTAGATTTGCTAAACTCCAGAATAATGAGCGAGAGAATGTTTTATTACTTCTTCAAAGCGAGAAGTTTACATCCATTTCCTTAGTATTTGGTAGCGTTGTCTTTAAACTGTATGACTCGGGTCAAACGTTCTGGGTTTCCTTCCACAAGCTTCTCACAACAGTCTGATGAGTTCTGGCCGATTCCTCCTGACAGAACTGGTGGAACTGAGTCAGGTTTGTTGGCCTCCTTGCTCCACATGCCTTTTCAGCTCTGTTGACTAATGTTCTCCAGGACTGAGATCAGGGCTTTGTGATGGCCACTCCACAACACTGACTTTGTTGTCCTGAAGCCTCTCTGTAACTAATCTGGCGCTGTGCTGAGGGTCATTGTCCATCTGAAGGCCCATGAGTGCCCAAGCTTTAACTTCCTGCTGATGTCTGGAGATGCTGCTTCAATATTTCCACATAATGTTCTTTCCTCATGATGCCATCTATTCTGTGAAGTGCACCAGTCCCTCCTGTAGCAGAACACCCCCAAAGCATAATGCTGCCACCCCCGTGCTTCACAGTTGGGATGGCGTTGTCAGGCTTCAAGCTTCCCGCTTTTTCCTCCAAATGTAACGATGGTCATTAAGTCCAAACAGTTCAGGTTTAGTTCCATCAGACCACAGGACATGTCTCCACCAATGAAGCTCTTTGTCCCTGTGTGCATTCACAAACTGTAATCTGTCTTTTTTTATGTTTCTTCTGGAGTGATGTCTTCTTCCTATCTCAGCAGCCTTCCAGCCCATGTCGGTACAGGACTGGTTTCACTGTGGATAATGACTCTGACCAGCTTCAGCAGCATCTTCACAAGATCTTTAGCTTTTGTTCTGGGGTTGATACACACATTTCAACCAAAACACTTCATCTCTGGACACAGAACCCGTCTCCTTCCTGAACGCTATGATGGCTGGACATTCCCATGGTGGTTATACTCGATATAATTGTTTGAACAGATGAACGTGGAACCTTCAGGCATCTGGACATTGAACCCAAGGATGAACCAGACTTGTGGAGGTCCACAGTTCTCTTCCTGATATCTTGGCTGATTTCTTTAGATGTTCCATGTTGTCACCAAAGGAAGCAATGTGTTTGAGGTGTGCCTTAAAATACATCCACAGGTGTGCCTCCAGTTAACTGAGATGTTGTCAGTTAACCTATCAGAAGCTTCCAAAGCCATGACATCATCATCTGGGCTTTCCCAAATAGTCTGAAGGTATTTTAGTAGATGTAAACTTCTCGCTTTGAAGACGTAATAGAACATTCTCTCTCTCATTATACTGGCATTTAGCAAATAGAAATAATGTTGGTAATCCTAAATGACCTGAAACAGGAAAAGTTTAGTCTCATTTAATGTCAGACTGTGAGAAAAATGGATGGATTGATGATGGATTAAAGTTTTTTTTTGTCTTTGAACTGTTCTTTAATTCACTATCATAATAAAGGTTCCTGTCATCTCAATAACTACAACAATGATTACTACAAGTGGGTCATTCCAAACAGTCACATATAGATCAAAGCACACTTGGCTCTAAACACACCAACCTTGTTAATGCTGCTGGCAGAAAGTCCTGCTTTCTCCAGCAACAGCTGAATTGGCTGGATGCTTTTGTTGAGGAGTGAGGAGCAGAGCAGCTCAAATCTAGCTCTGAAAAACAAAAAGAAACAACATACTGAAGTTTTAACAACTATTTACCCTTTGTTCTTTAAAGCATACAGATAACAATAGTTCTGCAGATCATGACAATAACTGACAAACTTAATAACATTCGTATATACTATGCTCTGAACAAACCATCTGTGTGTGTTTCCCACTTTGCTTTCAGTGGTGCGTAGTTTTTAATATTTGCAGCAGCTTCTTGGTTTGTGTTTGTGCTTTCTTCTTTCGTTAAAACTAATGCAGTCTAACACATCAGTCATGCTACAAATCTTAGCTTCATGAAGGTTTGATTTTTTGTTGTTGCTTGTGCGTGTCTATCCGTTAATGTGACGGCTTGGTTCACACTCGTACCGTGTTGAAGGCTAACCGAGTAACCTAGTAGGATTACCGGCACGGCTTTGATGGATGAGCGACCCGGGTGCAGCCGACTCGTTTAGCTGCTGTCAGATTAACAAAGTGGGAGAGGAGTTTGACTGAAACATGGCTCACACGTGTCCCTTAGTTCATCCAGTCTCCACATGTTGGCAAGTTGGATCCGTAATTTTGGGTCAAGGATTGGCTGTTTTAGTGTCTCATCTTTATTATGTTCTGTAATCAGGGTCTCAGCACAACAGCTTACCTTGAGACATTGCATTCAAAGTCAATGCCGTCATGCAGGGAGTCAACGAAACAGTTGGCCGAGCCCAACGAGGACAGTGAGTGCTTGGCCATGTCAGCGCCGTTCATCAGCTTCAGCATCGCTCGAGCGTTACTGCTCACATCATGTTTAAAGGTTCTGCACACAGACAACATCAGGGTGATTAGGAAGACTCCAGTACAACACATCACTGGTTCTGGTGTGTCGGTGGGGGGTCTATCTATACTTCTCTACTACAGAGCTCGCTGTCAGCGCCATTCACCGCTTTCATGTATAAGCCATAACATTAAAACCACCATCCTAATATTGCACAGGTCTCTGTAGTGGCGCCACAAGTGTTTCCCACCAGGACACTAGCACTGGGTCCTTGGGGCCTTTGCAGATCAGATTTGTTCTGCCACATTCACAACACGCTGGATGAGAATGGGAAGCCAGGACAGACGTTTGGACTCTATTGTTTCTGTCTGGGTACGCTGTAGGGCTACCACGACCATTTCACCATCCATTAACCTTCTGACCATTTTATAGATTAATTAATTCAACTAAACAGTTAGTAAAATGGCCATTTTATTTAAGTTTATTTTGACAAACTGTGTGTGATTGTATAACGCAGCACAGTGTGAAATGTGAATAACAGTTTAAATGCTAAAGTAAAAAACTGTTGAGTTGAACCAGTTATAAAATAAGAATTTTCTTAATGTCAGTGTCCATCACTGTTTTACACTTGTTCTGGTGTCTGGAAACACACAGAACAATACGTAACTGTGAACATCAAGTTCGCTCGATGAAAATACCATATATAGGAGCACAAAGAGGAGGAAGAAAATGGCTTTGTGCTGAACTCTGTGTTTGTCTTCAGCTGTTTGTGCATTCGGTTAATGCTGCTGCGGTACGCCATCTAAACTCAGCACATCTTACAAACCACTATTTTGTTGTTTGATCATTTGAAGCACGCTCGTACTCTCACAGACTTGGTCTTTATGAACTTTTACATCTAACTGTGTCGGACTTTGTCCCTCCACTATCGTCTAAACCTGCAGTGCAGCTGATGAATTGGAGCCAAAAACGACTGATGCCAACAATGATGTACTGACACTAAAAAACATTAGTTATAAAAGAAAACATGATGCATTTTGAGTACGGACACTTGAGCTGTCACGGCAGCCCGAGGTCATGCTGGAGAGGCTGCTGGTGTTGGGGAGTAACACAACCAACATATCAGAAACATTCACAGAACACTGAATGATCCATGTTATTCACTTCATTAATCAGCGGTTTTAATGTTGTGGCTGCTAAAATCTTTAAATGAAATACATGCTGTATGTTGGATCATTACCATGCGACACTGTCTCCATGCTACTGGGTGTCAAAGTGAAATGTATCAACTATCACATTTACAAAATGTAAAGAGCTTTGAGAAGCAGCAACAAACAGGAGCTACCGTTTAAACTCTGAGGCGAGGTGCTGGGCTAAGGCCTGGGTGAAGCTCTCCCCTCCGATGCCGTGGTCCGTGTGAGTGCTGAGAACCCGGAACATTCCTCCGTTGACCTGCAGCACCGTCACACTCAGGGACGTCCCGCCTAACTTATACACCAGGACATGGCTGCCAACACAGGACATAGAAGGATGAGGACAGATCACCTGGAACCAGCTCTGATTACTCTACTGACTCGAGGTGGAAATAATATAAACAGGTAAACCAGAAACATTCCATAGAGGAAGCAGGACTGTTCAATTCAAATGGTGCCGATTCACAACATGTGTCATCTTCATACAGTCAGAGATAGAACACAGGCAGAGGAAAGCAATAATCATGTTGAAGGCCAGTGAAGACGATGAGAAACTGGCAGCTGTGCAGCCACACATCACTACAAAGAGGAGAAACCACAAACTACGGCAGACAGAGGACACACAGTTAGCGGCATGCAATGTGACTGTGAGTAACTGAAGAGATGGGCCAAAACCTATTCATGAAAGAAAGATGTTTTACAGTAAATTCTAATGCTCTCTACTCAACACACTGCTGAGCAACGGTGTAAATCAAAAACAACTCAGGACTGGCTGCCCCAGGAAATTCAGCCAAAGAGCACAACACAGGTGCAAAAAGAAATCTGGAAGAGCCTGAAAGTTAATCACAGGACCTGCAGGTGACTATTCTGTTGATCTGAACAATGGTGCATGCACTTACAATTAGAAAAAGCCACATGTTGTGGAAGGATGTCGACTCAAAAGTACAAAAAAAACCTGACAAATATCTGGAAACTGAAGGAATTTTGTATTGAGGACTGATCACTTCAGCAAACCAAAGTCAGAGACTGGTGGATAATTATTCAAAAATACCTACAAGAAATAATTTCTGTTAAATGACCAATCACATCTGATTTCCAAGTAAAAGGCCAACATCAGTGTAGGAGCCAAATGGAGCTTTGTGTTGATATGTTCTTTCTTGTTGTTGGTGTGTGGATGTGAGTGGGAGAGGGAGAGAGTGGCCATGGGTGTGTTTAACTCCACCAAGAGGAGGCCAGAGAGGCTGGCTCCACCCGACTGAGGAAGTTGGAGGTGGAGCCCATGGGGGAAGGGTTAAGAACCAGCTGCCACAGCATCTGGGGTGGCTGAGGAAGGCAAATAGTTTTCTGACCATGTGGCTGCATCAAGGAACTGGGCCTTCTGAAAGTCTCTTTGATTTAAAGTGTTGGTCACTGGGACCGACTGAATCCACTTCTACTCATCATCATTCATCTGCACGTGTCCCAACTAAAATCAACCCAGCCATCAGTAGTGGTCAAGCAGCAGACTGAAGGGGGTCTGCTGAAACTGCCATTACAATCAGCAAATCCCTAAACAAGCCAACAACAGTAAAGTGTAACATGTGCTGCACCTCTTTCCAGAAGTGTGGTCCTGTCCGATGTTATAGGCCAACAGGGCAGCTGCAGGCTCATGGATCAGCCTCAGCACGTGGAACCCTGCAGCCTCGGCTGCCTCCCTACACAAAGCAAACAAGGTGATGGACTTATAAGTTGAAAATAAAAAAAGCTTTATAGTCAGTTGCAGTGAGCAGTAACATAGCCTACCTCAGAGCACGCTTCTGATTAGGTGCAAACTCGAAGGGGACGGTAATGACCACGTCACTCACATCAGAGCCCAAAGCTGACTGGGCCGTTTCTTAACAGACGGGAAGAACCAGTCAGCTTGCAATGTATTTACAGAGTGTGTGTGTGTGTGTGTGTTTGAATAAACTACCTTTCATTTTGTGGAAGATGAGTTTAGCGACGTCCTCTGGAGCGACGTACTCTGGGTGGTCTCCTGCTGTGATCTCATAATACGGCTTCTCTCCTCTGCTGACGACCTGAACACAGAAACCACTGCTCAGACTGAGTCACTGGTTCCTCAGTAGAGCCACTGGTGCTGGATCATTTTTAACATTAAACTAAAGCCCCATTCAAATTGGACTTTTCTTTCTAGGGAAAGAGGTGATGAGCTGAAAAATATCTGACCCAGTCAGTGATTTTAGTCCAATTCATTTTTCCCCACTAATAATTACATTAGAAACAACTCTGTCAAAGGGTCCATCCCTGCAGTCATCTCAGTGATCCATCAGTTCATATGAATTCCAGGTTCAGACAACACTCCTGGAGTGTGACTGCTACCATGATGTACTTTTAAAAAAAAAAGAAAAGTTTTTGTCTTTACAGTGCTGTTAAAAAGCATTGGCCCCCTACAGATGTCTTTGTCACACTTAAGCTTCACATCAAACTAATTGTAGTGTATGACAAAGACAACACAAGAAAACACAAAATGCAGTTTTTAAATGATTTCATTTATTGAAGGAAAAATGCTATCAAGCCCCATTTTGCCCTATGAGAAAAAAAAATTGCCCCTTTAGCTATGAATCGACCAAATGACCAAATTCAGTTGACAATTGGGTTCAGTGTCTCCAGCCACACCCACATATGATGATGATGAGGTTCTGGGACTCCAGAGAACCACAGTGAGACCCATTATCCACAAATGGAGGAAACATGGAACAGTGGTGAACCTTCAAAGGAGGCCAACCGACCAGAATGACCCCAAGACCACAGCAACAACTCAGCCAGGAGATCACAGAGGAACCAGATGTACATCAACGTAACTGCAGGTCTCCCTGGCCTCAGTTAAGGTCAGTGTTCATGATTCCACAATAAGGAAGACACTGGGCTAAAATGGCCTCCATGGCAGAGCTGCAAGGCCAAAACCACTACTGACCAAGAAGAACATGAAGGCTCATCTGGCATTTGCAAAAAGAGAAAGTCTGGATGAGCCCCCAGAATTTTGGGTAACATCCTGTGGACTGATGAGCCACAGGTGGAAGAACAACATTGTAACAGCAGTGAAACATGGTGCAGGTATTGTGATGTTTGGGTTGCTGTGCTTCCACAGTACCTGGACGACTTGTCGTAACTGATGGAGCCATGAATTGTGCTCTGAATCAGAAAATCCTCCTGGAGAAGATCCATCCATCAGTTCAGGACCCAAAGCACACAAGCAAGTCCATGGCTCAGAAAGAAAACACTAAGGTTTAAGAGTGGCTGAGTCCAAGTCCAGACATGAACCATTGGAGATGCTGTTGCAGGACCTTAAAGGTCCGTTGATGCTCAAAAACAGCTAAAGTGGTCAAATTAAAACTGTTGTGCAGAGACGAGTGGGCCACATTCCTCCATGGCCATGTGAAGGACTGATCACAAGCTGTCGTTCCACTGCCAAGGATGGCCCATCCAGCTACTGGGTTTGGGAGGGACTTCACAGGAGTGATAGAGGTGTTCAATAAATCATCACTCAAAAACTGCATTTTGTGTTTTGTAGGTTATCTCTGTCTGATATCATTTTAACATAAATATTAGTCTGATGATTGGGAACATTCAAGTGTGCAGAAATAGAAGACATGAGGAAGAGGTCCGGTGCTTCTGGTGTAGGAGAAGACCACAGCAAGTCAAGCGCCGGTCTCAAAGGTTTGGGCGCTGTGCTGAAGTCAAATGGTGGTTTCAATCCTGTCTAAATGGGGCTTTTAAAACAATACCTATAAACCATAATGCCTCTGACTGAAGCCATAGAACTGTATGTGCAGAATAACTTTAAACATTTTGCAGTACAAACTCTTTTATCAGTACATCGACAACACACAGTTTATCTGTCAACACACTCACCTGACACTTGGTCTCTCCTTTGTGAGTCTGTGTCTCTGGATCATTGAACCTACAGATTGACAGAGACAAAAACAAACTGTCAATCAGGATTATAATACATGTTTTATATATGCAGGTGTCCAGAGGGTGAATTCATTTTAGATCCTCAATGACTAAATCCTCAAGAATTTGAGTCAAGAGTGAGGCTACTAGTTAAGTGCTACAGGTGACAATACTCTCAGAAATGACATTGTGTGACTGTCTAACTGTTCAGCCACTAAATGCATTTTACAAGCTCTCCTTGTTACTGCAATTTCCACCAAGATGCTACCTGAGGAGGAGCTCCAGGTTCAGTGTTATACATGCCAAGCTGCTGTACTGTTGGGCACACGCTGCCCCTGTTGCCACTCAATGCTGGCATCAACAAGCCATTGTTGCTCAGAGAACTGTCTAAAAAGTTAGACCAGCCCTGATACTCATTTTGAATTTTTTTGAAGAAATATATATATACATACATATACATATTCTATTAGTGGAAACGGCAAATTAGTGAAAATCAACAATCTCATTAACCAGAACGTCACCACAACACCTTAATGCATCGTGGAATCCCTTCTGGACTGAACCTGATTGGTGGTGGGTTCATACACCAACAAGACAACGAGCCCAGCAGACTTCAAAGCTGTGTAGAGACCATCTGACACAGAAGAAGGAATCTGGAGTTCTGGGACCTCATTTCTCATCAGTGCATAGAAAAGGTTCTAAATTCTGTCGTACGAATGAAGTTTAGAGTGTGTGTAAGTACAAAAAAATCCGTATTTATCAAACGTGCGTACGGGGGTCGTACGCACATCAGTGTTGATAAATCCCACTTGTTGTTAACCTCCGTGCTCGTGCACGTTGCCTTCAGGAACGCCTCCAAATCACCACATAGGGCAACAACACGCCTCTTTCTAAAACAAGTGAAGATTTATTTTTTCCTCACCTGTCGTCATCATCGTGGCAAAAAGGGCGAAAAAGAGGAACTTTTATGAAACTGAGATCGAGGTACTTGTCAGCGAGGTTGAAGCAAACCAGAAAATATTGTTTGGTGCATGAAATGTTGGGATAAGCAGCGAAAGAAAAAATATTGCAGACAAGATAACCACAGCAGTTATTTCTGCTGGGTCAGAGGAGAGACCGCTGGCAAAAATTTTAAGAGGTGGTTTGACGTTAAGCTCAATGCCAAAAAACGCATCACAGTCCATAAAAGAGAAATGAGCGCAACTGGAGGAGGACGAGTTAATACCGAACGTTCACCCAGCGGATAACCCTGATCACTGCAGATGAGATGATTTAATAACCAAACAAAGTCCAGCTAAAACATTTCCACACTCTGTGACACTCACCAATAAGCCAGCCGTCTTCAGCAGCTCCTGCTTGGAGACCCACAGAACTTGTTCTGCTCAATGAATGAGTCGTGCATTCCTCCAAGCCGCCAGGCAACAACGTTGGATAGCCACAAATGTGCATCGCAAATTATCAGTACGTTGATTGAATGAAACCCTTTTCTATTTACAAAATTAAGCTCGTTTAGTGATGCTGCTTTGACTGTGATGTGGGTGCTGTCTATGGCTCCACATATGTTTGGGAATCCAGCGACAGCGTTAAGTCCCCGTTTGATTTGGGCTCATCGGTGATGGTTGTAAAGGAACTGGACGTAGGCTGGGGCCAGGGGAGTTATGGCATCCACCGGCTTGATCCTGCTCAGTGGTGGCTGGAAATGTTGCATATGTCTCCAACCTCACGCTGGAATGTGCCGGTGGTCAAAATCCCTGAATACTTTGTATTTGTAGTTTCACTGTTCTACCGCTAGATTATGTGCGTACGCATGGTCAGAGTTGTGCGTATATTTATGCACATTCCTAAGTATAAGTACAAGTTGATAAATTCCATACTTTACGTAGGAATGTTCGTACACACGCTCTGCGCACATATCTGTGCGTACGCACTGATGATAAATGAGGCCCCTGGAACTGATGGACCGGCCCAGTCAGAGTCTGGGTTTGAATTCTATTGAACCCATTTGGGATGTCATACATTCAAAGGTTGGTCTGTGGGAACATCTACAAACTATCTGGAGCTCAGTAACACCAGAGAGACTGTTGAAGAGTTCACAGAAACACTGGCAGCAAGAAGCAGCTGTTATGTTATGACAGACAGACAGACAGACAGACAGACAGACAGACAGACAGATAGACAGATCTTCACCTTCTTCCCAGTATCTGTTTCACTCTAACCACAGTGTTGGCAGCATTGCGGACCCGTCCTTGCTTTGCTGCTATACCGACAATCTGCAGAAGACAACAACTTGTCAATAAGCAACAATGACTTGCTACACACACTTTACAGCTACACAACACTTCTGTCAATAATGTACCAATAATCTGGCTCTCAAGGCTGTGTACAAACCGAGTCTTTATGAGTCAATAAATGGGCTACAATAATACAAGAAACACTAAACTATACGAGCGCTGTACATGGGACAGCGCAGTGTGATGCTCTACAACTACAACAGGTTATACTACAAACGCATGGTGCATTCACCAAGTGTCATCCAAACCAAAGTAAAAAACCTTCAGAAGACAGTTCAGATGGTGCTGCTGTGACATGTGAAGGACTTGGTTTGGAAATAATGACACAGTCAGTTGTTCCTTCAGCAACAACATTTAAAACAGGAGTGTGTATTGAACTGGGAGGTCTGGTTCAGCTGTCAGAGGGCATGAAGCGGATGAAAGCAACTCAAGTGTCACTGACATCAATGAAAACTGTACATTCTCATTTAAAGTTAATGAGACTGTTGAAGATCCTGTTGAAGACAGTTTTACTGGCTTCTGTAGATGTTAACATTTTACTGATGAAAACCAGCTGTTTAGGAAGTTTTCTGACAAAAGCCATTTATTTCAGGTTGAATGAGCTCTAATAAGATACTCTGTGTTATCTGCTGAACACAGAAAGGGACTTTTTGCTCTAAACTTAGTCAAAAGGAACGATGCACAACAGCTTCTGGACAGATGCAGAAAAATATGGCAGCATGTGTCCTGCTGCCTTCTTCTTAATCAATCATCTGTGTGTAAAAAACAACCAACAACACAGCAGGATCTACTAGTGCTGTCCTAAAAGTCCTCAAAAGGGTCAGATGATGGGAATCTGGAGGTTACGGGTCAGTAAGCTCCACCACATCTTCTTCCTTTTTATATATCAATATCTTCATAAAATCAGTATCATGCAACAAAACATGCAGTTATTTTAAACACATCAAGGGCAGGCTGAGTGTGTTTAGATTTCCTCATCGTTGATTAAAGCCCTAAAACGTCACCAGAAAGTTTTATCTCCATGAACATAACTTCTTCTTGCCTTACAGTAGCTTGGATGTGCCTATACATCAGGGGTGGGCAATCCTGGTCCTTGAGGGACACAATCCTGCATGTTTTAGATGTTTCCCTCATCCAACACACCTGATTCAAATGATCAGGATCGTTATCAGGCTTCTGCAGAGCTGGATGATGAGCTGATCATTTGAATCAGGTGTGTTGGTAGAGAGAAACATCTAAAAAATGCAGGAATGTGGCCCTCGAGGACCAGGATTGCCCACCCCTGCTCTACATGGTTCCAGCTGTCTCTCCACTCACAGCAGCTCACTAACTAACTAACTAACACAAGATGCTGCCCAGATGCTGTCAACACGACTAAACACTGGCAGTTCAGCTGTATGTGTGAACTGGACGCTGATCATGAAAAAGACGAAGGACACATAAAGCCCCATCGCATGAGTTAACGTCACACGAGCAAAGTCAGCTCGCCAACAAGAGCCACATTACTGAGACATACAACAGGTCTAACTGAATCAGAAGCTAAGCATAGGTTGTACCTGCTCAGTGTCCCTGTAGCCCACCACAGCTGGAGTCACTCTGTCTCCGGCATCATTAGCCACCACGTCAGCCCGTCCATCCTGAAACACACACACACACGCACGCACACGCACACACACACGCAAACACACACACACACACACACACACACACACACTTACTTCAATAATGAAAGATTTATCACTGTTGCTGCCAGGTTTCTGACCATGTCACTAGGAGAGTTTTGTGGTGGCCTACAGGGACATGAGTGAAATGAGTGGCTTGATCCCATCGAGTTGGGAAACAGCTGCTACACCATAGGATGGAGTTCAAGGATCCCAGGATCATACAAGGTGTGAACAAAGAGAGAGATGGGAAATTGGTCACTGATCACACGATTCAGGAGCCATAGTGATTCTTTTTATTATTATTATTATTGTTATTATTATTATTACTAGTAATTTCACTTTGCCATTATAGCTCAATCAGTGTACACTGAGAAAAAATGCAATTTATAGCAATAAAAAACTAAAACAAATGTTTCCGTCCTACATACATATTTCATAAATGACTTTCATTATGAGTTATTCTGTTGTCTGCATCCAAAAACTAAATATTTAATGCCTCAAACAATATCACATGGCCTAGAATGATGGATCACAGACAGATGAATGGTAAATAAAAAGAATGGACAGAGCAGATGTTTGACATTCTTGGCTTGATAAATGACTGAACGGTAACTGGTAGTAGCTCATGTTCAGTCACTTCCAATCAATAAAGTGAATAATAGACAATGCATGAAAGATCTAAATAAATTCAACTGTTTAAAGAAATCAAGCATCAGGAAGAGATGCTCTTACAGATCCATCCAGACTCACCAACAGGTTCTATCCTGGCAGTACACAGTCCTGAACACACACTAGTCTCCAAAGTCTGAACGATTTATCATATATATTTAATATTTATATTATACTATACTACATCACTTTATATATAATATGTATTATCTATATTTTCATATATCCTCAGTGTTCTTATCTCAACAGTGCAGTATATTAATTCTACTGTGTGGCTGTCACTGTGCTCATTCCTGACTGTATATACTACCTCCTGGCTCCTTCAGTAAATATATGTATGTATTTTTGTTTTATACTTGTCTTTGGCACCACTGGAGCTGTCTTTTAATGTCGTTGTACTTTGTGTATGATGACAATAGAAGCGTTCTATTTTATTCTATTCTAAAACACAATCTCATCCATGTCAGCAGCATGTTGTGGCGCTGTTCGGGTTCAGACCCACATCACACTGACTGTCAGTGAGTCAGCTGGACCAGGCTCCAGGTGAGGATTGGTGGATGGATGGAGGCTCCACCTGTCCATCCACCTATATCCAGGTAGGTCTACTGTGAGCCCATCACAGACCAACACAGGCACCTCCACCCGTTACCCCAGACTGACTGGCACATCACACGTGTACAGCTGTAGTGGCTGGGTGTATCAACGGTGGCTGTAGCCTCCCAGTAGCTGGGCAGCACCGCCGCTCCGGGTCCGGCCCGGGTGAGTCCAGCCCTGACCGGAACCAGCCCGGAGCGGGACCAGCCCGGACCGGGTCCAGCTCATCCACCCGCGTGTCGATGTGAGAAGCAGCTTACCTTGAATATCGCCACACAAGCGCACGTATAGCCAAAGTGGACTCCAATCGCTGCCATGCTGCCTCTGTGAACCGGAAGGGCTGGTGCACTCGACTCGTGTTTCCGGCCGTCCACCGTGTAGAACCTCCGGTTGTCCACAGCGCCCTCTGCAGCCCGGACGGCCCGATCACGGTGTTGCAGGAGTCCCTCCAACGATGCTTCTCATTTAAAAGGTTTATCCACGGAGTACTTAATGTCCAACTACTGATGCTGTTAAAGGTTTATTCCAACCAAAAAACTACTGATTGTAATAACTTGGTAGGGAGGACTTGCATCTGGACAGACTGTGTGATGAGCGTCCTTCTGTCACTGTCAGGTACAATACTGATGGATCAGATGCTGTGGTCTCTACATCTGAAACAGGACGGTAGGACAGAGGCGATACCCAAACACAGCTCTGGAGGCACACACATGCACACTAATGTCATTAAACTACCACCTAATGTTAGGTTTATGCCACAGCTGCCCTAAATTAACAGCATTAGTGATTACCAGCATCATTTATAATCTTTCTGTAATAGTTAATACACCAGTATGTAGAAGCTCTTTAACCCAAATGATGTTTTTACTGCTAAAATATTATTATTATTGTTATCTATGAATTTTCAGATTTATTTTAAAAAAAAAACAACAACAAAGAAATACTGAAGCACATTATTATAGCTATTTACTTGCATTCTTGAACAGAGTTAGTTAGTTTTAGTGGTTGAATGTGATGCTTGATTCATGTCTGACTGCTCAGAGAAGCCCAGGGGCTCATATATATATATATATATATATGTGTGTGTGTGTGTGTGTGTGTGTGTGTGTGTTACAAACCAA